CCCCGAAACCTAAAACCCTAAACCCCCAAAACCCCTAAACCCCTAAACCCTAAACCCCTAAACCCCTAAACCCCTAAACCCCTAAGCCCTCTCTGGTCGGTGTAGGGTGACAGGGCCAGGACTTTGCATGGGCACGGGCCGATACATGCTTTCTTTTTTTAGACTTTCGGGTTTAAGGGTTAGGGTTTAGGGTTTAAGGGTTTAGGGTTTAAGGGTTTAGGGTTTTGGGTTTAGGGTTTAGGGCCAGGGTTGACTGTGTTTGGCTGCATGTGTTCAGCCATTCCCTGCCTCACCCTTCAGTGACGTTGGCCTTGGAGTGCGCCCTTCTCTCGGTCAAGCCACACGACGGGGGTCCAGGTGTGTAAAATGCTTGCATGGGCTTCCTCGGGCTCCTTCCTCTTCTCTGCGCGTCCTCCGCCATGGTCTCTCTCTCGCTCTCTCTCTCTCTGTCTGTCTCTCGACAGTTTTTGCGGGCTGCTCTTGAACAGGCCGGGCTCAAGATAGAATCGACATAAGAGATTAAAGTGCGGCATTCGACGACAACCAAGGATGAGTCCTACGAGATCTTGGGTGTGTTCATCGACTACTCCTGCCTCTACCAGTTCAAGCGCAAGAGACGGCACGAGGAGGAGAGTTTCAGAGCGGCGATGAAGAATATGTCTCTGCTATATGCGCACGAGTGGACTCAGACACTATGCGTCACAGATCAGACACCGGAGTCATACAAGAGCAGTAGAGCCGGCAGCATCCCCGTTTATTGTCCAGACGAGGATGAAGTGCAGGACAGGCCAATCACCAGCTTGGTGCCAAACACGACAGAATATGAACTACGTGGGTGGTGCTTGGCGGAACTGCAATGGTCGAGTCTTCGAACTTCAGAAGTATATCGGAACCCGCTGCATGCCAGCAGCGCCTTGCCAAACCAACATTTGTGGGCGCGCCGGTCCCCAATGGCACCCTACAAGTTTCGCAGTGAGCTGGCCAAGAAGGAGATCAAGTTCACACATAGGTCCGATTTCACGCCTCTGATCCAAGCACAGCAGACGGCATTCCACGACAAGGTCTCACAATGTGAGACTCGGATTCTGGGATCTTCCGGCCGCCGAGATGGAGATTCTTGGAGAGGCTGTGTACTTCTTCCCGAAAGTACACACTCTGAAGCTGGAACGGTGTGCCGCCAATGTGGAGGGATTCATTCGAAATCTTTCGTTTAGCACCTCCCTGGAGCGTGCATTCTGGCTGCGTAGTGGGACGAACTTTTTTGCTTTTCCAAGCATCGAAAGCTTATGATGCCCCCTGCATTGTTTTCTGGGAAAACACCCCCTAAACCCCTAAAACCCTAAA